ATTTTATTATCATAAACCCCGGGGAAAGACTTGCGGACACAATAAAAATGCGGAAAGCTAGGACGTGTCGACTTGACGATCCCCGTCCGACACAACAAAGTTTCAACTAAAATAGACAAGGTGACTAAACAGTTTAAAAGCAACAAAAGAAGAAAAACAATCCTACTGGGCGGATCCACCAGCTCCTTTGCCAGAATCTTCGGGCTCACCAACACCTTCACCAGGATCCTCCGACACCTTCGCCGGGTCCTCCCCGACTTCCTCCGAATCATCGCTGTCGGCATCTCTTGAAGTATCTCTGATCTGCTCACTAAGCTTGGCATAGATCGCCGCGTCAAGGGCGTCGGAATCAACTGTGATCTTCACTGTCCTCGGGTCGGCTGATTCAGTCACCGTGACAAGCTCGGTCTCAACCCGGGGCGCATCAACGTCCATCTCGGCCACAGCAGCAGTCATCCTGTCGGCGTACTCAACAACCTCCTTCTTGATCTCGGCCGGAGTTAGGACCCTGAAATGCTCAACAGTGATGCCGGCGAGAGTGTCAATGAACTTGAGGCCGAGCTCTTCACTTTTCTCCTTCTCCCCTTCAAGGACCATATCCATAAAGGCCCTCTGGAGCTCGGCGCGCCTCTCGCGGCTCAAGGGGGGAAGAGCCGAGGCTGTTATCTGTGGGTCCGACCTGTTCAAGACGCCTTCGACGTAGTCCCTCTCATCGTCGTCGGCCGGAACGCGCATCTCGGCAATAGAGGAGTCAAAACCCAACCTGACTATCTTGTTGTGCAGAATGAGCGCGAGATCGCCAACTCCATAAAGGCCCGAGCCGACGCGGTCAACGGTCCAGCGGAGGTTCAGACAAGTATTGAATTCGAGGTCGCGCTCCATCTCCTCGGAGTTTTTGAACTCTTCCTTCCCGAGCTCCTTACCCGCCTCAACACCTCGGTTGCGCATGAGGGTCCCGTACTCGGCTTTCTCTCTTTCAAGACGGGCGACTTCCGCTGCATGTGCCTCTCTCAGCCGAATCAGCTCGGCTTCTTTCTCAGCTCGGTCCTGGCGA